AAGGAAGGAAGGAAGAAACTGTCATGTCAAAAACTAAACATCATCTTTCCTCTCAAACCCTCCCCTCTTTTTAATTTGGCCATTGGTATAGACTGCACCAATATCCTCCCAGGCACCCAAGCTCACATTATAGGTGTCATTCCTGACTCCTTACCTTCTCTCACATCAATGTCCAATCTGTTTTTAGGATCTGTAGTGTTTCCTTTGTAACTTCTCTGGCATGTATTCCTCTCCTCTAACACTATAACCATCATGGTGAAGTCCCTCACCACCTCTTTGGCCGAACAGCCTCCTAGTGGGTTTTGCTGCTACAAGTCTCTCCCTACTCCAGGCCATCTTCTAATCTGTTGCCAAAAGGATCTTCTTAAGGCTCAGATCACCTTTTCTACTCAATAAACTCTAGTGGCTCCCTATAACCTCCAGGACAAAATAGAAAATATTTTGTCATCCAAAGCCATTTATTACTTAATCTTCCTCCCCACACACATTTTTTCTACTCTCCTTAAACCTTATTCTTTTTCACATATCTCAATGGCACTGACCTTCTTGCTGTTTCTCGAACAAAGCACTCCATTTCAGACTCTGGGCATTTTTATTTCCTGTCTCTTTGTTTAAAATGCTCTCCCTCCTCATCTCTATCTCCTGGTTTTTCTGGCTTCCTTCAAGTCCCAACCAATATTTCACTTTCTACAGAAAGGCTTTTACGCTTCCCCTTAATTCTAATGCCTCTTGTCTTTTCTATAGTTCCTACTCATGCTATGTATAGCTTGTTTTACATACTTTTTTACATGCGGTCTAACCCATTAGATCATGCACTCCTTGAGAGAAGAGACTGTTTTTGCCTTTCTTTGTTCACAGACACTTAACATATTTTCTGGCATATGTTGTTGTTCAGTTGTTTTGGTCATATCTGGCTCTCGGTGACCCCATTTGGAGTTTTCTTGGCAAAGACACTAAAATAGTTTGCCATTTTCTTCTCCAGCTCATTTTATAGATGAGGAATTGAGGAAAATAGGGTTAAGTGACTTATGCTAGTAAGTGTCTGAAGCCAGATTTGAATTCAGGAAGATGAGTCTTCCTGACTTGAGGCCCAGCACTATATTCATTGTGTGACCTAGCTGTCTTTTTCTGGCAGATAGTAGGGACATAATAAATGTTTATTGACTGGCAATCCAGAATAATCCTCTCTGGCTTTCTTCCACATCATCCCACTTCTCCATGACTACTTTCTTCTATTCCTGGCAACAATCATCATAGATTTTTTTTTTTGGTCACTGTTATCATTTTCAGCTCTTCTTTTCTACTTGGTTCTGTTTCCTTTCTGTCTTGGAAGACTCTTCCAACTCTTGAGCTGCTGAACCAAAATTACACAATTATACAAGAATGCTACGTGGCTTCACCTCCTTAACCTTCTAAGGCCCCCATTATTTAAAAGTTTTAGTCTTCCACACTTGGATCCTATTACCACAAAAAAGAGTTTCTTCAGGTAGCTGTGGGAATTTTCTGATTGCCCTGTTCTATTTCCCACTGCTGGCCAAATTAATATTAATCCAGCTCTTCCTTGAGCTGTTATCTGGCTGGTGTAAACTTCCCTCAGCCAGCACATCTCATATACTCTTCTAGGGTTTTGAAAGACACTCAGGCTCCATCACACACAATATTAATTGGCAGAACAAGCATCTGAGCTGAAGTTTTGGGCTAAGTCTCTATTTACTATGCCATGCTGCCCCTCTCTTTCACCCTAATATGAATCTGGGAGCCAAGAATGAAGACTGGGTATTAGAGTGTATGCAAGCAGTCCATATACACTAAGATATCTCTCTCTGTCTCTGACTCTTTCTGTCTCTCTGGCTCCTCCCTCCCTCCCTCTCCATCTCTGTCTGTCTCTTGCCTATCACACATACACACACACCCCTTAACACAGAATCAATCATACATACATGTACTGAAGTGAAAAAGCAGCCAAGGTAGTAGAAACCTAGGGATAGTGGAAGCTAACAAGAAATCTGATCTAATAAATTATCTCTTTTCTACCCTTCCTCTTTTCTGGGGGTAAGAATTCACTGAGTATCCAATCAATTTTATACTCTATGTCCTAAGAATAGTAAAAATTCTCATTTTTATGCATCTAAATTTGTGGGTTTTTTCACAAAAAAATTATAAAGTACATAGTGCAGATATTTTCATTCTCATCTTACACATGAAGGAAGTGAGGATCAGTGAGATTAAGTAAATTGTCTGTTATCTCTTAGCTAATAAACAGTTGAGGTGGGATTTGAGTCAGTTTCTGATTCCAAGTCAAGCAATCTCCATTTAGTATACTATACTGATTCTCTGGTATGCTAGGATAGTTTCTGGAAATGAAAGATGTAAGGAAGTCTATTCTAAAATTAGGTAAGAAGTCAGATACATCAATACCACTGCTAGGTCTATGTCCAAAAGATATCCAAAAAAAAAATGGAAGGATCTACTTGTACAAAATATTAATAGCAGCTCTTTTTTTTTGTGGTGGCTAAGAATTAAAAATCAAAGGGATGTCCACCAATTGGGGAATATTACTATAATGGAATATTTTTTGTTCTATTAAAAATGACAAGCAGGATGATTTCAGACTTAAGTGAACTGATGCATACTGAAGTGAACAGAGCCAGAACATTGTACAAAGTAATACAATATTGTTTGATGGAGAGCTATGAATGACTTAGCTATTCTCAGCAATACAATGATCCAAGACAATCACAAAGGACTAATAATGAAGCACATTATCCTCCTCTAGAGAAAAAACTGATATTATTGAATACAGACTGAAGCATGCTATTTTTCAATATCTTTCCTTCATTTTTTTTTCTTTTCCTCAAGGCTTCTTTCTGCAAAATGAATAATATGGAAAGGTTTTGCCTAATTGCACATTGTAACCTATATCTGATTGCTTGCCATCTCAGGCACAGAGAAGAGAGGGATAGAATTTGGAACTCAAAACTTTAAATAAATGTTATAAAAAAGATTTTAAAAAATTGAACAGTCATACTAAATAATAATTTACTAATGTTTTTTGTGGAAAAGGCCATTATGTAACTATGATATTCATCAATGCCAAAAAATAACACCATGCTTCCTATGGCACATTTACTCTCCTTTATCCCATTATTTTTCTTTATTGAGGAAGACATTTTCCTTTTAATATTGCAGTTGTTTTAAAATATCAAAACCTTCATGATTGAATAATGAAAGCAGTTGCAATTTCAGGGCCTGGTTTACATAAAAGTTAGATAATAACTAATTTTCCTAAATTAACATGCATAGCTGACTATAGGCATAATATTACTTATGTTTTCCAAAGACACAATATAAATATAATATCTGTAAATTAATTATGAAAAATCCATTAATTCTCATGAATTCAATCATTAGATGCAGATAAAAACTTCATCCTAAGGTACAGAAGGAAATTTCAGTTTTAATTGCTGAGTCTCTGTTTGCTTTTGGTAGAATTTAAGAATTGTTTAGATAATGAGAGGTGACATAGGGCTAAAAATGGTCCAATATCCTGTTTCAAAAAGGGGAAGAAGTTGGGTTCATCTCATGAGGGCCAATCATTAGTTTTAATTCTTCACAAGATGCTCAAGCATATGACTTAAAGGACTGTTTCTGAGCCATAGAAATCTAGTGAATTTTTAAAGAGTCAAATATGAGACTTCAAGCTTCCTTCATATTAAGTGTAATCTTCATACTATTGGCTCATCATTCTAGACCCCTGGGTTATTTTTGTCTATTGACTGTTGTCAGCCAACATGTTACTTCTCCCTTCCAGATTCACCTTCAATAAATTTAGAGATCTGTGATTTTATTAGAGAACCTGCCTTATTCAAGGATTAATGGTCTCTGAATTTTCTTTCAACTTGGAAATTTTATAATTCTGATTCTATTGATATCCCCAATAGTATATTGGATTTATTAAGGACATTAGTAAAATTTAAGACATGTTTTCTGTTTTTGAGGAACTAATACTCTAGTTGTAAAACTCTATAATGTATCCAAATCTTTCAGGAAAAAAAAAATTTTGTTTATTGGTGTGTTTGTTTTCTGAAGCCAATCAGATCTCCCCTAATTATCCCTTACCTTTTCTAAGATTGGAGGTCCATGGCTATGGTATTTTCAGACTTCTTTGATATAGTATTCATTTTTGCTGATTTTTGTCCTCATTCTATTTTTCTTTTTCTTAAGAATATGATTTGTAATATGAAATGGCTCTCTAGGAAGGGGAGAAAAGAAATATTGGAAGAAATTCTTGTGATAGAAAAACCAAAGTATACCAATAATTTTTTTTCAAAAAAAATTACATCTAATATTCTTGCTATGATCAACTAATATCTACAAATGAAATTGTACTTAAGTGGATGATAGTATCACCTACAGAGGAAAAGTACAGGCAGGCAATATGTAGATACAATGGAGATGAGTCTTAAACACATAGCCCAAATGACCATGTTGCCAAAGGACAGATTGCTTAACTGGCACACCATATCAAACAGACAAGTTTCTCTTAAACAAGACTTTCACTCTGCTTCCTGGCAAATCTACAAGTTGTAATCATTTTTATAGCAAAAAAAAAAACCTTGTCTTTTAAAATTTTCTTCATTTTTAGAGTTAGCTACATATTTGAGAAAGATGGGAGTAGAAGAAAATGTTTCTGGCTTTTGTTTGGAAAGAACATTGTTAGTGGTTTTGGGCCTCAAAGAGGAAGTATTAAGTTGTTTATGTCCACTCTTAGGAGCAATCTGAGTCTAAGTCTTGAATATAATCCAAACAAACTTTCCCATATTTTATTGACTTGTTGGAGTAGAAAGAAGAAAAAAAAAATAGAAATGACCATACAAGAAAATGAGAAAATGTGGCAATAAGGATAGATCAGAAGTATTTTTGAGTAGTAGCCAGAGCCTAGGTGAGATTATGTAACATAAATTTGTTATGAATGAACCACTTATATTTCTTTTCCCCAGGTGTGCAGCAGAGAAAATTGACTGTAGTGGCTACTAAGGGGTAAGGAAGGACAGAATGAGAACTATGGAAGATCAGAGGCAGGGATTGATTCTATGACAGGAGCAAGTGAAATATTGAAGAGGCTAACTACAAGTTCAAGGCTGGTAAGTAAAACCAGAGTTTTTGTAAAAAAAAATAGAATTTGTATCAGAATCACTGATTCGCAGAATGGATTGTCAAAATACTTAAGACAATAATATCATGAAAAAGAAATTTAGTATACATGAAAGAGTGGGAGAGATAGAAGAGTAGGAGATTGTAATTTCTGAGGTAATTTCAAAGTTCCAAATTTCCAGATTCTGGAAGTGGCACAATTCTGAGAAATGATGTATGGTGAGCTGCTGTATATTTGAAGTGGTGTGGTAACAAGGGTTGAAGAAGTGGAGTCTAAGTAATTAAGAGGATAGGTTGTTAGAGAAGCTTCAACATGAATACTGAAATATCCAAAAACAATCTGCCTATTTAACTATTCTTAGATCTATCTTAATTGGCAAAAGGCATTTCACTGACATCTATTTATTTGGAATAGAAGGCATAATAACTTGCCCTTCCCCTAGTCTGGTATCAAGAAAGTGGGTAGAAACAAATCAGAGAGAGCTAAGATTATTCTGAGTCCTCTGACTGAATTCTATGTGAATAATATTGTGCCTCTTTGATTCTATATGGATTTTCCTTTAAAAAGAATTTGGGTCCACTTCTAGCCCTTAGATTCATCATAAAGCTTGGGATGTAGCGATCATATTGCCCCCAATCTTCAGAAGCTACTGAGAATTAGGCTGTTAATGGTCTGATAAAGAAGAACTGGACATACCATTCTTCATTTCTTTCCAAGATTCTTCACACTCATTCTTTCTTTCTCTCTCTCTCTCTCTCTCTCTCTCTCTCTCTCTCTCTCTCTCTCTCTCTCTCTCTCTTGGTTTGGATCTGATGAGAACCGTGGGTCTTGCTGGAGTAAATATGTAGGAGCTAGGTAAGTTTCCTTCCATTTAGAGTTCCAACTTGGCAGAAAGTCTTGGACTTTTAGATAATGTACTATATTGGTGAATACGTAAAATAACAGAAGTCTAAGCATAGTCACATATTTGGCTGTTAAAACTTCATTTCTATTAATCAATTCACTCTTATTAGGATTGTGAACTTTCTTACAATTCAAAATGATGCTTAAATAAAGATTAAGTGAGATAACATGGAAAGCATTTTGTAAAATTAAAAGTGTTTTAATGGGGCAGCTAAGTGGTACAGTCAATAGAGCTCCGGCCTTGGAGTCAGGAGGACCTGAGTTCAAATCCCACTTCCCACACATGACACTCACTAGCTGTGTGACCCTGGGCAAGTCACTTAACCCTGACTGCCTCACCAAAAATTTTTTTTAAAGTGCTATAAGAATGCTAGCTATATTCTCTTCCCTTGACCCATCCTAGGTAATCATTCAAAGTGGTGAGGTACTTTCACAACCCAGAGAACTCCCCAAAATCATGCAAGTCAAGGGGATCAAATCTCTGGGTCCGCTTCAAGAACATCCATGAAACAATTCAAGCTATCAAGACATGCATATCCAGAAAGCTACCAAGTATTTGAAAGACATTACATTGAAGAAACAATGTGTTCCCTTCCAGCGATATAATGGTGGAGTTGGCAGGTGTGCTCAAGATAAGCTGGCATTAGACAGAGGGTCATTGGCCCAAAAGACTGCTGAATTCTTGCTGCATATGCTTAAAAATTCAGAGAGCAACGCAGAACTGAAGGACTTGAATGTGGATTCTCTTGTTGTTGAGCATATCCAGGTTAACAAGGCTCTCAAAATGTAACAGCGTACTCACAAGACTCATGGTCAAATCAACCCATGCCTGGGTCCTCCTTTCCATACTGAGATGATACATACTGCAAAGGAACACATTGTTCCTAAACTGGAGGAGGAAGTTGCTCAAAAGAAAAAAGATATCACAAAAGAAACAAAAGGTTATGGCACGGGAGTACAAATAAAAGTGAAATGAATACAAAAACAAACAAAAAAAGAATTCTAGCTATAATCATTATTTGATGAAATGTAATTCAGAGGCATGTCTTGGACAAGACTGAAAACCATTGTTATACTTTATATTGTGGGGAGGGATGGGAGTCAAGCTTGGGCAACTTTGGATCTTTCATTCTTGGAAGAAACTATTTCTGAGGCTTTTAAGTCACATTATTAAAAATAACAAACAAAACGCATATTTTGTTTTCTGCCCACCTACACTATAAATCACACTAGACATCAACCTTCCCCATCCCCCTTCTACTAAAATATTCTAGGATCATACTTTTACAGGATGCTAAAATGCTAAGAGATAAGTTAGGATACTAAAACACTAGCCTTGGTAAGAGCTAAGTAATTAAAACCTAATCTAGGAACTAACTGTGAGTAGAGAAAACGGACAGATGTAAGAGAAATTACTGGTGGCAATACTAACAGTGAATGTGCTCGTGCCTTTAGCCATGTGATATGTCATTAGAATTTAAAAGTATGCCTTTAGGAGAAAAAAAGAAAAAAGTGTTAAAATTATTATTTTTATAGAATTATTGGAGGTCAAAACCACTCCGTAAAAATAAATTTCTGCATGTGAGAAGTTAATGATATATGTCATAGATTTTTGTGTACTAAATATCAGAATTTTAAGTTTCTATTCTATGTTATGATACAAACCTATTATATTTCTTTTAATGTATCAATATATTAATACTCAAAACTCAAAAGTGTATGGAGAGGACTTCTGCTTCTGGAAGCCAAGATGGCTGAGTAAAAAGGTAGTAGATCTCACCCTCCCCTATCATCCCAGTGCCTCCTCAAAAATAAGGTAAGCGGCACTACAAAGGGCCCAGGCAGATAAGCACCCTGCATCATTCCTCTGAAAGGAGCTGAAGAAAGCAACCTAGAGTCTTCCTAAAGTCCTAGCCTCACTGATTCCAACCCAACACCAGGTAGGCTGTCAGAACCCTATAGCCTCCAACTGTCAACCAGGAGGAGATCCTGAAGCCCAGGTGGTAGAGCAGGCAAACACCAACACCTGGACCTCTGAGCGCCTCAGTGAGGGTGGGGGGAACTGGTGGAAACCAGCTCAGAAAACCACTAGGTGCCTTGGCACTCTACTGCAAAGGAATCACCCAGTGCATTAGCAGAAATGAAGAAGGAAGCACTGCAAGGGTCCCCAGGCAGATAAGCACCCTGCAGCACCCATCTAAAAGGAGCTGAAGAAAGCCAAAGGAAAGGAAAAGCAGGCAACCTAGAATTGCCTGAAAGTTCCAGCCTAGCTGATTCCAGCCCAACATGAGGTAAGCTGCCAGAAACCTACAGCCTCCAATTGCCAACATAAGAGGCCCCAGCACACAAAGCCAGTGATCAAGACCTAGGCTCCCAACACAAGAAGCTTGGATCAGTGCCTTCTGTTCCCCAGCAGCAGAGCTCAATCTCTTTAAAGGCCAGGGAATAAAGAATACCATGAGTAGAAAGAAATGTACCATAGATTCATATCATGAGAAGAGTAGAGATCAAGACAGAAATTCTGAAGAGGACAACATTGTCAACAAACCCACATCTGCAACATCAAAAGGGAATATGAACTGGTCTGAAGCCCAAAAAGCCTTCTTAGAAGAGCTCAAGAAGGATTTTAAAAGTCTAATGAGAGAGGTAGACGAGTCCTTAAAAAATACAATTGGCCAATTAGAAAAAAAGTACACTGAAGAAAACAAGTCCCTGAAAAACACAATTGGCAAACTGGAAAAAAAAAAGTACAACTGAAGAAAACAAATCCTTAAAATACAATTGGCCAATTGAAGAAGGAAGTACAAAAATTAACAGAAGAAAACAATCTGTTAAAAACTAGAATTGGACAAATGGAAACTAATGACTCTATGAGAGAGCAATCAGTCAAACAGAAACAAAAAAAATGAAAAAAATGGATGAAAACATAAAATACCTCATTGGTAAAACAACCAACCTGGAAAATCAATCCAGGAGAGACAATTTAAAAATCATTGGACTACCTGAAAATCATGATGAAAAAAAGAGCCTGGACAGTATCTTTCAGGAAATCATAAAGGAAAACTGCCCTGAAGTCCTAGAACCAGAAGGCAAAATAACCATAGAAAGAATACACCACTCACCACCTGAAAGAGATCCCAAATTGACAATGCCAAGGAATATAATAGCAAAATTCCAAAATTACCAGATGAAAGAGAAGGTGCTGCAAGCAGCCAGAAAGAAACAATTTAAATATCATGGAACCACAGTCAGGATTACACAGGACCTTGCAGCTTCTACATTAAAAGACCGCAGGCGTGGAACATGATATTCCATAAGGCAAAGGAGCTTGGATTGCAGCCAAGGATCAACTACCCTGCAAAAATGAGCATGATTTTTCAAGGGAGGAGATGAATATTCAATGAAATAGGGGACTTCCAAACCTTCCTCATAAAAAGACCAGAGCTCAACAAAAAATTTGATCTTCAAGTACAAGATTCAAGAAAGACATAAAAAGGTAAATGGGATAGAAAGATACAAAATGTTGTTAATAAGGGCAGACTGTTTACATACCTACAAGGGAAGGTGACACTTGCAACTCTTGAGAATTGTATTGTTATTATACCATGTTAAAGGAGTATACATAAAGGGGGTGGATATTAGTTGACTTTGATGTAATGATAAAAAAAATCTAATTAAGTTGTTAAACGGATGCAAGTAAGTAGATTAGTCTGATCTTAGAAAATGTACTGAGAAAGAAGGAGGCAGACAAGGGTAAATTACATTACAGGAAAAGACACAAAATCGTATTACAGCAGAGGGAAAGAAGGGAGGGGGGTGAGCATTGTTTGAACCTTGCTCTCATCAGATTTGGCTTAAGAACGGAATAACATAATCATTTAGGTATGGAAATCTAACTTGCCCTATGGACAGTAGGAGGGAAAAAGGGAAGGGAGGGAAGAAGCTGTGGGGGTGAAGCAAAAGAGGGGTGAGTGGGATAATAGAAGGGAGGAGAGACTGAAGGAGGTGGTGGTCAAAAGCAAAGTACTGGTGAGGGGAGGAAGGAGGAGAGAAAGAAAAGCATAAACAGGGGGAAAAAAGGATGGA